CATCCATGGACTACGCACCACCTCAGAAGGGCAAGAACAAGTCCAAGGGCAAGGGGAAGTCCAAGGGCAAGCCTGGGAACAAAGGGAAGGGTAAGACCCCCCACCTGAACAATCAGGCGTCCCGGGGCGGTAACAAGCAGGCAGCCACCGACCCGAAAGGGAACCAGTTCTGTAACAACTGGATGCGCGGGCGCTGCCCGGGCAACTGCGGCCGCACCCACAAGTGCAACCTCATCCTGGCAATGGGCCGCATCTGCCTGGGGGACCACCTCCCGCAGGACTGCCCGGGTTGACTAGGGGCGCTGACCCCTACCCCCCGGGAGGCCTCAGGTGCCGAGGGCCCTGATAAGGCCCGGGGGGGCGAGAAGGGGCGCAAACGCCCCAAGCAGGCACAGAAGCCCCCTCCTGCAGGTGCCGAGGGCCCTGACACAGGGGGGGGACAGGCCAGGTGGCGGCCATCCTCGGCGGAACAAGGATGGGGACGGCAGAACCAGCGTGCACAACGCCCTCGCCGTGATCAGAACAGCCACACAACCGGCACAACGGCGGCGCCTCAGTCCCGAGCCACAGGTGCCGAGGGCCCTGATATGGCGGGGACGGGACGGTTCCCCGCAGGTGCCGAGGGCCCTGACACGGGGGGCCGCACCCAGAAGGCCCGAGTGCCGGATGACTGGCAGCACACCGCAACGCCAAGGGACACTCCCAGGAAGCAGCCGATCCCACTTCCGGCGCCCAACATCATCAAGCAGGACCCGGTGGTTTTCCACAAGAGCTCGGTGGGGCTGAATGAAGGGGGCCAACGCCTTTCAGCTACCCCCCTGACAAGTCCAACGGAGCCGTCACCGGGATTGGACATCTTCCCGTGGATGGAGAACATCCCTGAGCGTCTGGTACAGCGGCTGAGATGGACACAGGGCACATCGCCCAAAGTTCCATCCAGTGGGCCCATCATTGTCCTGCTCTATGCAGGCAAGGAAGACCCAACTTCCTTGGACAGCTGTCTTCATGCCAACTACCCACACCTTTCCAGCATGGTGGTGGCGGTAGACATCCTACGGTCTGGACCAAAAGGGGACCACGATATGCTCCAACCCGAGCTGTATGGAGCTCTTTGCACGGCAGCAAAGCAGGGCCGAGTGGTCTTCATTGGAGGAGGACCCAACTGCAGGACATGGTCCATCCTGCGCCACATACCAAAACCGGGGGCTCCCACCCCGGCACTCCAGAGACACTTTGGGGCCTTCCACACCTGGACCAGGCCGCCCAGACTCAACTTGATGATGACAGCATCCTCATTCTGAGACAGATGTACATCACCAGCCTGGCAAGGGCCTCACGAGCGGCGGTTTCTCTGCCAGGGCCCAGGTCCTTCCTGGAACACCCGGAGGACCCAGTGGTGAGCAGCTCGCTGCCCAAAGCCAAGGAATGCTCATCCTTCTGGATCACAGAGGAGGGGCAGCTTTGGATGGAGGAGAACTCCTTGACAGCAATCTCCTTCGACCAGTGCCGCCTGGGCCAGCTGGTCAAGAAGGCCACTACGCTGGCCACGGATCTCCCGATCCAGGACTGGGATCAAATGCGGTGCACGCATCAGTCACATGTGGGCACCAACGAGTCCTCGACTCTTAGCAGATACCCTTGGGATATGATGGCAGGCCTGGCCAAAGCCATCGCTGTGTCACTCGCAGCGCCGGGGCACATCCGGATCCCCTCACAATTTCCGGGAAACCCCAAGGAACCACCTAAGGGGCGGGGGTCGGACCCCCCGGAAGGCCATTCCCCCCGGGGAAAACGGGGGCCCAGTCAAGGAGGCGGTCCCTCCTCATCACACCAGGGCTCAAAGCCCGGAGGCAAGAACGCCCCGAAGCCCCGCCTGCACGGGCAGTTCCACCCTGAGGCAGACACCGTAAGCCCTCGTGGAACAATGAACCCAGACTTCCCATCTCCCATGCCCCCGATGGCCGGAGATGCGGAACAACTGGGGAAGGAGGGACAGGGGGACCAGGTCCTGGACCGCCCCGAATGCCTGCCCGCTTTCAGGGTCCCACACCTCACTGACCGGGTGGCGATTGTCCAATTGGGTTTCCGCTCACGCCCCCTGAGGGATGGGGGGGGAAAACCTTCCGGCTCAACCCCCCTTTTCGGAGAATTTCCCCATTGGCTACTTTGGGCGCCCTGATCATGACCCTTACCCGGCCCTGGATTGACAAGGTCCGAATGTCCCTGGCATCAGGTGCCACCACACACCCCTTCCAGGAAGCCGACCTCGAGGAGCTGCGGGCTATCCTAGGACCGAGGCACCTCCATGAACGATGCCCAGGACAACCCTTCCTCCTGGACTTAGTGTCGCACTTGGCATCCCTTTCAGGTGACCCTGATTGGGAGTTCCCCCTAACACTAAAAGAGGGGGTCCCCTTGGGAGTCTCGGACCCTACCTTGACCTCCCCGGGAGTTTGGCCACTAAGGAGGAGCTTAAGGGAGAAGCCTGGCTGGGGGAAGATCCCCCCGCCAGTGGCTCATGATAACTACCCAACGGCTGAACTCTTTGCCAAGGAAATCGAATCAACCTTTTACGAGGAACGAGCCTTGGACATGGTGGACGGGCCCTTCACTCGCTCCGAGGCGGCAGAGAGGTGCCGCTGCAAACCGGAGGAACTTTGCCCGGGCCCCCTTGCAGGGATTGATGAGTCGGACAAGATCAGGACGATCTATGATGGCTCAAAAGGGGGAGCAAACGCACACATCCAGGCTCACACGGAGGAGAAGACCACCGCACCGATGGTTGGAGACTGCCTCCATGCCATCCACTGGCTCAGGACAGCGGCGGACCATCCTCATCTACTCCGAGCCCCATCCTCGGGCACTGATGAGAAACCTCGGGATGTTCACCAGCCGGTGCAGGGGCAGTCCCCAGGTGCCGAGGGCCCTGAGAGGGACCCCCACAGCACCAGCCTGGCCCCAAATCCGAGGGCCCTGAGCAGGCGGATGATGGAGACCTCCGGCGGCCTGGACGGGGCCACTCCCAGGGCCCTGATAGGAGGGCCCCATTCCCCCCAACCCCCCCAGGCAGGGAACCCCTGACGTGGCAGCCGCCGACACAGGGAAACCTTCATCATCCTCAAGGCGGATGTCCACCAAGGCCACAGGCGCATAAAAGTGCTCCAGAAAGACTGGAAATACCAGGTGGCCTGCATCCAGAACCGGTGGTGGGTCAATAGAGTGGGCACGTACGGCATGGCCTCGGCACAACTGTACTGGGGAAGAAAGGCATCCTTGGTGCTCAGACTCTTGTACTACATCTTCCCTCAGGTGGACTGGCACTTAGTTTTTGTGGACGACTACTGCTGGGTCCTCAGATGCAGCAGCCATCCTGGCCACTCTTCTGGCGCTGGGAGTCCCGCTTTCTTGGAAGAAGACGGCGCTCTCCCCGGTCAATACCTGGTTGGGATTCGTGGTGGACCCAATCACGCCCTGTGTGCTGCTGGCTCCAGTCAAGCACGTCATAATCCTGGCCACTCTCAAACGGCTGGCCCAGGGGGACATCTTTACCAGCAAGGAGGTGGAACAAGCCCTGGGCCGGATTCAATGGGCTACTTCGGCGTGTCCATTGACGAAACCTTTCCTCCAGCCCTTTTGGAGCTGGAAGAAGGCCTGCACCACTTCGGGCAGGCCACCGAAGCTGGTTCGTGCTCTGGCCATCCTTCTGGGGAAGCTCTTCAACCAGAGGTTCCCACTGGCATCTCCATTTGCTCCCACACTTCCATGGACGGGGGCATCTGATGCGGGAGCTGGCAAACAGGCGGACCATGCATGGGTTGGTGGTTGGTGCTCGGACGTGCCCAACCCCGACAAGTCCCGAGTGAAGTGGTTCCAACACAGAATCACACCGGAGGGCGAGCCGTGGGCCTTCACTACTGGGGACCCGCAGCGGGCGATAGCGGCCTTGGAGCTCTTCGGCCTCCTCCTTTTGGTGAGGGCTGTTCTGCTTTGTGCAGCCGGCTCGGCTTCTCACACTAGGATTCTGGTTGCTAGTGATAACCAGGGAAACGTTTTCTCCCTGCTTAACGATTCCACTCGCAGGATGCCCAATGCGGCCATCCTCATGGAAATTGTGTTAACACTGCATGACCACCAGGTCATGTTAGGACCGTCGCATGTGAAGCGCGACTTTAACACATGGGCGGATGAACTTACTCATCCGGACCCGCAATTTCCGACTGAGAACCGGGTCTTCCCCTCAGTCGAAAGCGAATTGATCAAGCTGATCTTCGCTACTTTCCTTCCTCACCCATGATGCCGGGAGGGCATCCGGTGAGGTGGGAGGATTCCTCCCTCGCTGTGGGAGTGGCATCAATTCTACTCCCATCAGCTGCTGAGGGGAGCTGCCCAGTGGAGCTGGGCAATCCTCCCATTTTGGCACTAATCCTTATGCGGCGTAAAGGATGCACCGTTTCGCGATTAAGGTACCAGTAGCACCAATGTGGTGCTTTGAAGAGTCACATGTTTATTTTTCCGGTCCCCCCCCCCCCCCCATCCCAAGAGCTCCTCGAAACTGTGCATCATGTTCGTTAAAAGCAAAAATGAATTCAGCTTCCTGAGGCCCATTTGTGATCGAACCTATACGTGTCACAGGTCTGGGGTCTTCCTCAAGAAAGGCGCTCCAAACATGACTTGGAGTCGTTCCCAGAATGTGTCTTTGTTTGAGGCGATCCTTGTTCGGGTTGGCTTTGCTGGGGATTAAATGAACACCACCCCATTTTGGGCGGCTTGAATCGAAGATGCAAAAAGGGTTGTTCGGAACCGGCCCAGAAGCAAAACCCGATGGCGTATGTCAAAGACTTGTGAAGCGAGGCATTAGTTGCCCTCGAAGCAACTGCTTCACTGTTCTTAGCGTTTTTGGTTTTGCTTTTTTTCTCGGGGGGGTCCGATCATTTTTAGTAGGGGGCCGCAAAAAACATTGTTGTTTGCAAGCATGCCAAGGGTTGTGAAGAACTGGCCAGGGCACAGCCAACTGCGACAATGCCTTCGTCACCTTCAAGACTCGGAAGGCCTGCGAAATGGCGAAGGACTGGCGAAAGCGAGCGAGCGGTCAAGGGCAGCTCTAGGTGGATGTTGACAAATGCCACCAGTGTACTGTAAGCTTGTCAGGCCGTATGAGCTCCTTATTTCAGAGGGATATAACCTCCATATCTCCAACACCCAAACCTGAAAATGCGCCTAAATGGCGGCCTTTAGGTGAGGCCAATTGCCTCGATTTCGGCCGATTGGTCCGGGCGCTAAATAGCCTAGAACTTTGAACGAAACCCAAAGAGCCACAATCCAAACCCGGGGTAGATGAAGGTCAGTAGGGGGCAGTCCCAGAAATAGGCGCGGCCGCCTTTCAACTTCCAGAAACATGGATTTGGGTGGACCATTTCAATACCGATTAGTTTTGATTGTGAACGAAAAGGGGATGAATCGTATTTCTCACTTGCCCCAAGCCGAACTTTTTTGATGTCCCTTGTTTGGTCCATTTTTTCATCATGGCCTCAGAAGGCCAGCCGCTGAGTTGTGGGTCCCTAAGGACTGACATTTTGGAGTTGCTTCCAGACGCCTTCATTCAACAGAACCAGTTGGGTTTTTGGGAATCGGATGCTTTCGGCGAAACAGGGACTAAAGCTTCGGTTGGCTTTATGGACACTTCACTTCCCCAGTTGGAGTTCAATGTGGCTTGGGTTTGGACCATTCCCAGACCATGTCGGTAGCATATATATATATATAGCCACATTTAGCCTCAAACTGGGTCAAATGGTCAAACGTTGGTGTATATTACCATGCTACTTTATGGTAAGCAGAACATCCTGAAAAACATGATGTTTTGGCCCATCGGGTGATGAGTTGAAGCCATCGAGCAGGCGAACATTTGCCGCCATGTTTGTGTGCATCTCATCGACTCGAGCGCCAATGCACGTGACATATCTCGCACAGTGCAAAGAGCCAGTAAGAGCTGTGTTGCAGTTGCTTGGTAGGAGCTGGACTTCTCCTCTGATGCGGATGCCTGGGTGGCTGGGCTTTTGCAAGTTGGCCCTCATTTTGGGTTTGTTTTGCCGACTTGGCTGTGGGTCAAAACCAATGGTACCGTTTTGGGGTAGGTGCACCACCCATTTTAGTCTGTTTTAGTGGTTGGATTGGGATGTTCACCGGGGGCTAACCGGGATTTTGACCCATGGCCACTTGTTCTCAAAGTTACCTTTGGCTTTTCTCGTTGCTGTTCTTTTTGGGGGAGGAGGGCGAGAGAGGGGGATTGAGAGGTCCTCAAAAAGGCTGTTGGGGGTGTGAGCCCCCTGTGAACCAGCATGTCTTTCGGCGGAACTTCCCAATTGACGACTGGGGGATTCATAGGGACTCGACAGCAAAGCTGGAATCTTCGCACACACAACATCACGGATCTATGTATATATATATATAAATAGATATTGCCTTTTGGGGTTCTGGATTTGGTGTTACTGTGGATGGACGAAACCCAGCAGTACTTTGAACTCATGGGAAACCACCTTTTTTGGGGTATTTACGGGGGAATCATCAGAAACTAGCGTTTCCTAGAAATGGCGAAATGGATGTCCATCCACACTTGGGAGGCTATCATCCATGGTGCCAGGTGGGTCAGCTTTTTGTTGAGGGTGCCCTTTGCTTGGGTTGGTTCTATTGGGAAACCAACAGGACCGCCAGCTGCATTCGCCTATGTTTTACACATCCCTCACGATTCATAGGTTTAAACGGGTGGCTGCATTTTGGCGGAGTGCATTTTGTGCACATCGCGCCATCTTCTATGCCCCGTTGCATGAACCGCACATTTATCATTGAGTCAACCCCTACCAATGGCTTAATTGTGGAATGGCACTCACCAAGAAAAACACTGGTTGTTTTTCCCTTCAAACTCACGATTGTTTTGGGGCCAGGAATATTACCCCCATGTGCGTATATGACATATATATATATATGGTTGTATATGCAACGTTTGGGGAGATCCAATGACCGCAAAGGAAGGACCGTTTTGGGCTGCTGGCAGTGTGTAATCAGTTACCTGCCTGGCACATACGTGCAAGACATGTGGATGTCCAAAACCCAGCTGAGAAAGGTTACTTGTTGATGTTCCCTTATTTTTAATGGGAGTCTTTCACTACTGGAAATATGTTTTTTTCCAAGGGGCTTGAGCAAATGGAAGGTGTCTGAAAGTAGCTGGTTCTACCCGGCTTTGCACAAGGGTTGTAATATGCGGCATACCATGTTAGAGCCAAAAGTCAGTTCAGGGTTGGGTGCTCATGTTGGTTCGGGATGGTTTCACAAATGCTTTGGACCTTCGGGGTGGAGTCTTGCGCGCCAAGCCGCGTTGATTTTGTTTGCTTATTTTTCTCGAATTGTGATTCAATTTCCCCCACACTTGTGGTGTTCGCCGTTGTTGGCTCAAGTTGTTCGTTTTATTTTCGGTTGTCCGCTCGTTTTTTAGGTGTGGGGGCTGCAAAAGCCGTCGGTTTGCTAGGGGTAAAGAGACATGGGAAGCTGCCGAAGCCTCTGACTTGGAGCAACCGTCAGCTTCGGTGTTGGATTCTTGGCTCCCAGTCCGGTTCCTTAGCTGATTTGGGTATGGGTCAAAATTAAGCCACCAGGAATCGGACAGGTTTTAGTCATTGTTTCCATATACCAGGGTGCCATTTTGGGTACCTAATTTTGACCCACAGCCATTTGTTGTTTTTGAGTCGGTTTAGTCGTGGTTTCCATTCAACCCACTAAAAGTTAGCCACTTTTTGCAGGGGATCTGAGGGCAGCCCAGGATTGCTTGAAAGGTTTGGGGCTGGTCTTCCACTAGAAGACAGCCAGTAGTTGAATAGCCCACCATTCCAAACCACCAATTGCGGTTAAGGTGAGTGATATGACCCACTCGGATACTTCCCCAGTTTGGATGTGCGTAACGGATAGGTTTATATGTTTAAGCTCTGCGTCGGATTGCTTAACACATAGAACAAGGGAAGGGAACAGCTGCAATTAGGATTTAAACCAAGCAAAACCACTCGAATTCTGGTCCGCGGGTCTCCTACTTTGAGACAAGCTGGAGTTCCATCATTTCCGTTTCGAGCCACATGCGTGCCTTCAATTCCTTGTAGCGGGATGAGCATGCCAGTGATTGCAGGCGTTTCGCAACTGTAGCAAACCCTTCGGTACTTGTTTATCTCTTTTACACAAACTAAAATGGCACCATCCTGTCCGCATGGAACGTGAAGGGGTCCTGGACCACCTTTCCTTAAATAGGACCCTTTGGCCCAGGGTTTCATGTGAATGTTAGCCCGGAAGAATCAAACCCCTGACTTCTAGAAAACGGTTTGGATGTGGCTTTTGTGGATCCACCCCTGCAGTATATTGAACAAGCATAAAAAGAGTACGAAAAAGGAACAAAAAGACCAGGGGAAATCCACCAGCGCAAGACCAAGCCGTTGTTTTAGGTTTATGAGGGGAGTTCCTTTTTGTGTTACTCCCCGCCGGGGCTTTTCGCGCTCGAAGGTCATCAGCGAGCCCCCGGCCCTCGACATGGTTCGTCTCCCGCTCGGGCAAAAAGGGGGGGGGTTGGCAAAGTGTTTGATCTTTCTGGGTGGTTTCCATCCATCGGGTCATTAGTTTTTTTTGGGTTCCTTGGTATTTTGTTGAGGGTTCTAGTTGGTGAGTGGCAATTTCCACTAAGCCACGGAGAGTTTGACTTTTGGCAGGGGAATTGCAGTTTTGGTGGTGGCTAAAGCCAACATAGATTCATGGACGGTTGCAAGGGGTTGGCTGCAAGGTTTGCTGTTTTTGCATCTTGGATGTTCATCCTGCAGAAAGTACAACAAAATAGGTCAACAGTCTGCTAAGCTATCGTCAATTCTGACGATGGTTTCGACCTACTGTCCAACTAGGTGCAACAGCCAGCAATCTCTCAGCAATCTCTACAAGTTCTGAAAATCCCTGGGGCATGTAGCTTCTAGCCGCTTTCGATTCTTTGAACATGGTCGGCATCGCATTGTTTTTGGATCTCATTTTTGAGTCAGAAGGAGACCTTCGGAAGTGGCGAGTGTTGCTTTTCAGGAGACAAATCCAACATGAAGACTCACTTCCGGAGTTCCGTCACTTTTTGGGGGGTTTGGAGCAGTTTTACTATGTGCTTAAGGGAGCCCTTGGTGGACATCAGTTCTATGGGATGGGTTGGCCTAAGTTTGAGCATCCGCGAGCAGCTTTCGGCTTCTTGGGCCCCGCGTGAATCCGATCTCCGGTAAAATGTGATTGAAGAACGGGGATGGCTGCCACTTTCATCAGACAATCCGTGTATTTGGAGTCTCCATGACCCTTCGGGGGTGATGGCCCCATTTTGTGGGGCGCATGGAGACTCCAGGTGGATAAACACCCTCATGCATTCCCTGGCTCAAAACCTACATGCATTGTCTGGGATATCGTAGAAAGGGGTCAGAAAGGGGCCAGTGCCACAAGGATTCGAGACATGGAATTTCAAGGGCTCCGTCAATGTTTTGGATGGTTTTCCTCACTTTCCGGTGCTCAGCGGGGGAATGAGGGAATGACCCCTATAAACAAACCTTGTGCTTTTCCTTAAGGGACATTCGCAAATCCCTGTGGGTTATTCCCTACTCAGAACCGGCACGGCTATTTTCCACCATGTCCACAACCATGTTCATCGGGGGACGCTGTTTGCCTCGGTTTCTGGTCGTTCGTTTCCTGTCGCTTTGGGTTGGGTTAGTATATTCCCTGAGAGACAGACAGTGAATCCCACAACTACCCCATTTTTTGTTTATTTTTTTGGTTTCGGAGTCCCAAATTGTCCTCTTTACTTGGTTTTTCAGGGGGCAACTGGGACCTTGGTGCTGCCCTGCCGTCCCATTCCTTTGGTTTTTAGTTGGTTTTAGTCGGTTTTAGTTGGTTTCAGTTGGTTTAGTAGTTGGGTTTCCAGTTAACCCACTACTCCCTCAAATCCACTCTACCAACAGGGGGGAGCCACTCGGGCAACTGCGAATCTGGGGAGTAAGCAGTATCTGGACTTACGTATGCATTTGGATGCCTTTAAGACTACCGAACTTATGTTGTTCAAGGGCTTCCCGGCCCTAAAAAAGAAGATCCATCCCCAGGAGCCTGAACATGAACCTTTCAAAGGCCTCAGGTGAGGCCTCTCGGGCGGCTAGGGCATCTAGGGCATCTGGGTGATGTATGCCAGCCTTGGACACGCGCTGGGTGCCTCGCGGGCGCGAGGCTGGAGCGAGCTTCGGGCAGACAACTCCACGGAGATGGCTTCGGAGCTGGTGGGCTATGCCTGCGTCTTCGGGCTGCCGCTCAGCTCGGACTCAGGGCCTCACTGAAGTTCCGTGACTTGAGTAGACTTTGGTTGGCTTTAGTTGGTTTAGTGGTTGGAAGATGTGCTTTCGTTTGGAGAAGTATTTGCTGCGGGTTTCAAATGGAATCGATTTCACTGGACAGATGTTTTCTTACTTTTTCCAGGCGGAAAGCAAATGGAAGTAAGATAGCCTCGAAACATGGGATTTCACGAGTCACTTTTGGGGTTTGGACCTGTCTCACTCCTGCCTTCCGGAACTCGGACTTGAGTCACTTTTTGGGAAGACGACCATTCTAGGGGTGAATAAAACATTGAGTTGCTTTGTTTGGCCAAGCCACTTCCTGGTGAGCTTCCAACGAGACCCGTTTTGGACTTTGGTTACTTGTTGGACGATCCATAAACTTTTTACCAACATTTCACCCATTTTGAGGGTAAATGTGGGTATCTATTACCCAGATGGCTTGGGTTTGGTTAGTTTTTTGGGGTTGAGCCACCTTAGTGGTAAGCAGAAAGTTTGGCCTTTTCTGGCCAATCCTTGGGAAGTCAGAAACGGATGCACAAAGTCAATATGTGTTTTGCCCGTCGGGCAAAACGGATCTGCGTTTTGGGGAAGGTCCTGGACACTTTCAGAGTGTGGATGGGATGCGTGATTTGTTTATACGGCTTGCTCGACCACAAATCTTATGTGATTCAGGGTAAATTTGGAGCTGTCCCTGATATGTTACAGCATTTAGGACATCCACTGTAGGGTATCTGAGGTTTCTCTGGTATCTTGCAGCTTCTGGGATGTCCACTGTAGGGTATCAGCGGTTTCCCTGGTATCTTACAGCAGTTGGGACACCCACTGTGAGGTGTCTGATGTTTTTCTGGTATCTCGTAGCATGTAGGACATCCACTGTGCTTTATCTGACGCTTCCCTGGTATCTTGCAGCATGTAGGACATCACTGCAGGGTATCTGAGCTTGGCCTGATATCTTACATCATGTAGGGTATCTTACGGAATTTAGGACATCCACCGTGGGGTATCTGATGTTTCCCTGGTATCTCGCAGCATGTAGGAGTGAGGTTTTCCTGGTATCTTGCTGCGTGTAGGGCATCCTCCGTAGGCCGTAGGGTATTTGCAGTTTCCCTGGTGTCGTACAGCACGTAGGACATTTACCTGCGGTTTGCATGGTACCTTACAACATGTAGGACATCCACAGTGTGGTATCTGATGTCGCAGCAGAGGACATCCACTGTGTGGTATCTGACGCTTCCCTGGTATCTTGCAGCATGTAGGACCTCCACCGAAGGGTATCTGAGGTGTCCCTGGAATAATACAGCATGTAGGACATCCACTGTGGGGTATCTGAAGTTTTCCTGGTATCTTGCAGCAGTTAGGACATCCACTGTAGTTAGGATTTTCCAATAGATATGTTTCGAGTTGTTTACACTCTGGCAGGTATGCAGCCTTCGTGCCGGTATGTTTGTCCATCACCAACGTGGCCACTCGGGATACGCACCGCCCCCCAAGAGGACTCATTTAGCAATCAACAAACACTTATCTAGCAATCATCAAAGACCTTCTCATAATGCCCCTGTAGTTGCTTGTAGCACCACAATGGCGGGTTTTCCTTTTGCTTTACCTCTAAAAACAAGCAAAACCGGGTAGACCCATTTGGGTGTGTGGTTGTTTGAGGGTGGCTCGTTGCTTGGTTTCATTTGGTTTGAAGGCCACAACTGTTGGTGCCCCCACTTTTTTGACACATACTGGAGAAGCATGCGACCTTGCGGGCTCTCATGCCGTTGATCATATGGATAAGTGTTTGCTAAACTGGTGAACCTATGATGGTTTGGCTTTTTTAGGGTCCGTGTTAATCTCAGCTACCCCAGCCGACCGGATCTGAGCTTTTGGTTTGCCTTTTTTTGGTCCATAGTCCATGTTCCAATAGCGAGCTTTTATGTCTGGATGCTGGCGACCGATCGGAAGCAATCTGGATGCCTTTTGGGGGCGCTGAGAATATTGTTGGCGCGTGCAAATCAACTCCAAGGAGAGGTGTAGCTGGGAAAGCAGCCGTGTACGGTTATTTTCCTGGTATCTCCTTGAGAATAGGACGAACATCCTTAACCTACTTGACAGTCCTTACTTGACCACTGAGTTCAATATGGGTATGTC